GCAGTTGCCTGCTGGCAGGGGGCAGGACTTTTCCTACGGGATGGGGCACGGCAGCCGCGCTGCAGGAACGCAGACGCTGCGTGATTTTCCTCTTCAAAATTCAAACCATAAACCAACCACCACCCACGGGTTCCAAACTGGGCGTCTCACCTGGCAGAAGAGGCACCCCAACCGCGGCGCAGCTCCAGCGGTCGCACTTCTGCATGAAGCTCCGCTTTCAGCAAAAAAAATACACTAAAAGCCGGGAGTGCCGAGAAGCCGGTATTTGGGGTCCCCCAGGGAACTGATATTTAAGTCTGCGACTTCTTTTTCTTTCCCAACCCGACAGCTCCAAAAAACCAGCGCGCCGATTAGTGTAATAGGGGGAGGAAAAAAAGAAAGAGTATCGAAAGACTAACGTGTTAAAGTATTTATTAACCTCTCCATTGGCAAGACTCAGTTTAATTAAAAAAAAAAAAAAACAAAAAATTTAAATAAAGCTCCGAGGCAATGCCATGTCATAAAATCCAGTGTTCTCTCACAGGCTAGATTTTAAAAGGGAAAATCAACTTCTTCCCCCAAAAACTACACTAGAAGATCAAAGGGCTAATTAGTTTGTAAGGCGGTGCGCAAATCCTGTAGCTTTGAAGGCACAGAGGGATGACAAACACTTAAAGACAGTCATCTTAAATTAATGGCTTTCTGTAGAATAAAACTCTCCCACACGAGGCAATTTTTTTTCCCTTTCTGCTACTTCTCGACGGGTGAAATACCCCATAGATGTTTCTACGCCCAACCACCGAGTCACGGCCAGCTGCTTCTGCACTGCAGAGGCTGCTTCTCCCCACCTCCCAGACTGATCCGTGGCATTTTACAACGTCTGGTGTTGGAAGGTGCTACTGTACAGTACCTGTTATTTTGACCGAGTGTCACGTTTTCCGATCATTTGAGCTAAAAGCTCCACTCCTTTGAGTTTCTGGAGATCAGCATCTGCTTTGGGAGAAAAAACCGAGCGCTTTCTTCCCCAACGTTTTTGCTCCTACGAAAAAACCCCACTCGCGATTCCTGTCAGGGAGTTTTATGGCTCCTTGGAGAGAAATGCTCACGTGATAATCAAGTGAATTATAATAGAGGGGGGGGAAAAAACATTAAAAAAAAAAGACTTTTAAGAAGCAAAGGGGAGGGAAAGGCTGCCCGTCGTTGGCACTGCCTTGAGCGCCGATAAATCCCTTACTTAGGGCCATCCAAGACGAGTGGATGCGTCCCACGGCCTTCGAGCCCCGCCGGTTACTCTGCCATCAATAAAGGACGAGGAGGGAATGCATAACAGATCTTTTGGCCTTTCCTCTCCCCGTATTTATCTCCTACAAAGACACAAGAGTGTTCGACAATTTTCCCCCTGGAGACCCAGGCCTGAGGTGCCAACTGAAAATTACTTCATTGTCTTTTTAAGTAATGGACTCATTAATTCTAATGGGTATTGATTGAGGAAAAATACGTTACGGCCTTATTAACGAGCCTGTCCGAGCACAAAGGAAACTGTCGCGTGAAATAATGAATTTCCCTGCTAAGCACGAAACGGGGAATCGGAGAGACGGCAACAAAATTCATCTCGCAGGCGAAGGAGAGCCCCCCCCGGGCCGCCCCGCACCTCCGCCGCCCCCGGCAGACACCTGCGCGGCCCGTGGGCGGCTGCTCCCTCCTGCTGCCTCGGTTAAGGCAACGTGGGGTCACCAGCACCGAGACCTCTGACTCGGCCTCCCCACGAAGAGAGATTCTGGGTCCAACTGCAGAGCCACCCGTGCTACGCTGGCTCCAGGCTGAAAATAGACCTTATCTATCATCTGTCAACATCTGCTTATCACACGTCGCCGCTATTTCCCAGGCTCCACAACTGCTTCCATCTCTTTTTTTTTTTTTTTTTGCTTCTATTTTGAGATGGAAGCTGGAAGGCTCAGGAAACGTGACTGCAGCTTCTCACTGCCCTCCACGCATACCACCACTCGGGGTTTTTTGTTTTCCGCTAAAAGGACGTCGAAAAAGCAGCGATGGAGAGAAAACAGAAGAAAAGAAAAACTCCAGAGGTGCAGAAACGAGGCGACATCCTCAGGTGAGACCTTAAGGATGGGAAGCCACGCAGGATCAACGAAAACACATTCATCCCAGCAGCTCCCTGGGACCCTCTGCGCAAATTAACAGACGTGGCTCCTCCGCCCCGCGTTTAGGAGAACCCACCTGGCGCGACAAACTGTTTGACGCCGGTGAACCTGCCTTTGTCCGGTACTGTGGACAGAGAGCAGCCTTTCGGCACCGTCCAGTCCCCGGACCGGCCCGTTTTGTCCTTCTCTTCGGCCGTTTCGTACACCTCGATGTGAGGGGGTTTCTCCGTCAGGTTTTTGCTGTAGTGACTCAACCCGTACTGTGCAATCTGGATGGGGTAGAAATAGCCTTGAGGGCCCCACTGCGTGGACAACGGCACGCCTACGAGAGAGGAAGAAAAGGAGTATTTTATCAGCACCTTTCCCCAAAAAAAAAAAACAACCCAGTGCTTGCAGCCCTGCACACTCTTCCTCCTCGCTCCTTTACTCCTAGCAAAGGACATCTCTAGGCTTCACGGTGAGTTAGACTCGAGGAAAGTCCCGTTCAAGGAGCGAATCGCTCCCATTTACACCGAGATCTGCAACTACTCAAAACTAAGCAGGTCTGAGCGGCAGAGAAGTCCTTATCACGGTCTTCCATACGTTCCCATTGAATTGTTTACTGAAGCACCACACTTAGTCCAAAATACATTTCAAATGCCCTAACAGATTTTCCTCCCCTACCCCAGGGACCGCTAAATCTCCCAACAACGTTCCATCTAACACAATCCCTTTAACGCCACATAAATCTTCGCAAATTTAGCGGATATGTTATTACTAGATTTTGGTAGGAGTTATTTGATGCTAGCAGAGCAATTCCCCCAGCCTCCACAAATCTGCTCCAATTACCCCGGCTCCCCTAAGAGCATTACCAGCGCAGCCTGCGGAAACCAGCCGAGCTCTCCGTGCAACGCCAGCAGAACGTGCCCCCAGATCTTCCACCCAAAGCTGCCCCTTGTCTTCAGAGCTGCTGCTCCAGCCTGGCCACCCCTGGGATTAACCCTCCACACACGACTCGCTGGCCCAAAAGCTGGTAGCCTCACCGGAGAGCACTCCTCTCGCTCTCAGTCGAGGGTTAGGGTGATTTTTAGAGTTAGCAGTCGGCACGGGCCAGAAGAACCCCCTGGAGCACCACCTCTGCAGGGGATTCCAAGCAGGAAGGTCACGGAGGGTATCTTCTGCAGCCCGACACGTCGCGTTTCACTCGGAGCGAGCTCGGACAACGTCACGCGGCCACGCTCGACACCCAACGCCCACCCTCCGTTACGGTCGTCAGCGGAGATGCTCCGGCAGAAACCCTGCCCAGCGCCAGGCTCTCCTCTGCCCGCCCTTCATCAGCTCCCAGGAGCTGCAGCCTCGGGGTTTTGAGGGGAACCCTCGTGCCATAAACCGCCTATCGCGCCACCGGCTGCGTGGGAAATGAAACCACACCGCGTGGGGAAGAATTATTTACACACACGCTTCCAGAAGCGGGCAAACACATGATATTTAAGATACGGATAAAACCAGCATTCTCCTAAAGTCCTGAGCTTTATGAGGAACAGATTCCCAACCTCTAAGGAGGAATCCACTATATATCACCGTGACCCTCTTGCAGGAAACCGAGGACACGCAGTGCTGTAAGCCTCTGCACGCACGCGAGAGGAGGAGGAAAAAAAACCCCAAAACACCCAGTTGGCATTCGCACCCTTTTCCCCCCTTGGCAATGTCAAGCTCAGAAGCCAATTTCTTCTGAAATCTGGCACAATGAAAAGAGGGCTTAAACTAAATGTAAAAAGTTACCTTTTCGTACATAGTTTGGTGCTTTGTGTTACTCATAAATATTACTGATGGAGGTGTGACGGTTTACTGCTGCCCAAAGAGAAAAGCACCGCAGGAAGTATTTCAATACCATGTATTAGCTCAGCTCCTGGAAGCCAGCTCACTCATTAACGCTAAACATTTTCAGTTAAGGGTGCATTCACGGAGACTGAGAGATGCAAAAAAAAAAAAAAAAGAAATCTCCTATAAGAGCTTTACTTGAAATTTATACGAGATGACAAGATTAAATCCTCCAGGTCATAGGACATAACAACACATTAACCTTGCAGAAAGAGAGGAGGTGAAAATGTAACACGAGGTTTGTTTCCATTATGCAGCAATATGAGAATCTCTGGGGCCGGAATGATGCAAAGCAACAGCCTAAAACCATCTGAGAAAGCGTTTTAATATTAAAACCCCTTCCCTACAAGCTACAACTATTTCTCTTCGCTGACTTGTTCGGTGGATGCCAATAACTCCACGGCCTTTGCTAAACCCAGGCTCTGGCATCACGTTGCACGACGACAGCTCTTCCATCACACCCTGCAAAAAAGCGAGGTTTATAGATAAATAACCTCGTCGCCGAGCGCTAAACTCACTGGTCCCTCAAGGCTTAAGCAGAGGGCAGCTACGCCCAGCCCCTCACGCCCCCAGCACCCGCAGCCAGCAAGGCAAGAGGCTGCAGAATCCGTGCTGGTTCTCAATTAGTTCTCACTGAATTTCAGCTTCTTTTGGTTTTTTTTTGCTGAAAACCACAGGAACCGCGGCATCCCGCGGCAAAGGGCATCTCGCGTTATCTTCCCCGCTTCCTACAAAAGCTGGTGGGGCTCCAAGCGCCAGCCCCAACAACAAAAGCAGCGCCCACGGCCGGCCCTCACGTTCACAAGCTGCATTTAACCAGCAGCGACTGCAGCCGTTCCGACAGCAGAGCCGCCGCCTCAGCCTCCCGCAGCCGGTGTAAACCCCGCGCAGGGCAGAGCTCCCACGGAGTAGGTGTGTGGCCACCAGGACGCGTTCGCACCCTGGGGAAAGCCCTGAGTTTCAGAGCCCTGCTCCCCTTCCTTGGCGGATGTAACGAGGATGGAAGATAAAAAATAATAAGAAGGGGAGAGCGACCTTAAAACCGCAGCAACCGCCACAGCCTGTGCCGATGTTTGTGCGAACCCTCGACAGACAAATTCACGGCAAGACGTGCCAGCGTTCCGCGGAGATCACGGGAAGAGCTCGTGTTGGCACAGCTGAGCAGCACCGAGATGCGTGAAAATTAATGTATTTTATTCCTTAAGTGAAAGCTGGTCTGCAATTTCTGAAAGGCCACAGTGTCACGTTCCGTAACGGCTTTATAAAGTCATTAATTTTTTTACTACGAAACCCAACGAGAACTTTCTGCCATCAAATCCTCGCCGAGACGCGGAAAGACCTCGTGTGCTAATCACCGACTGCACGGTTTAGCAAAAAAAAAAAAAGCAAACAGGAAAGGTTTTACCCTATATTCATTTTATCCAGGGACACTTCAGTGGCTGGCGAGCTTTTTGACCCCTGAGCAGTTCCCCAAAACCTCCTGACCTCGCTGCGGGCAGCAGCGCCTTGTGAGGGCCGAGGTGACGCCGATCCACCCGCACCCGTGCACGGGACGAGCTTTGGCAGGAGCTAAGCCCACGCTGCCGAGCAAAACCCTCCCCGCTTGCTCAGGAACAGCCCAGCGGGGAAGGTCTGACCGCCGGATCTCCAGCACTGCCCCAGCAGGGCCAGGCTTTTTTATTTAATTTTATATTTTCAATTAATTTTTGGCTCCCTGACATAGCTGACGAGTGTCAAGGACACCACCAAAACCAGACAGCAGCACTGTAAGAGAAGTGTCCCAGCACCTCTGGAGTTTGCTGCAACCAGTAAAACCAGAGATGCAGGACGGGAGCCGGTAAACCTGGTACGAAGCCGAGACTGCGCGCGATTTCTCAGAGTAAGGGGGTTTTATCGACAGTACCACGAAAATTAAGATCATTTTGCACCTCAAATGATGGCAGCAAGTTTTAAGAAGCGCTTCAACTACTAAAAAAACCCACAAAATACTCCATACAAACCTTCAACGCCACTTATGCACTTCACTCTGTCTCGAACCTCGACGTTGTAGCCCTCAAAGGACATGAAGACCCCGTCGGGGTGGTAAGGTGCTCGCTGTGTGTATACTTTGGAGTAGCTATGAGAGAATTCAAACCTGTCATAACCATCGTACTGAGCAATTTTCCCATAAACCTCAAAGTATTTCTCTACCCAGCTGAAGGGCAGGAAGACCTCGTTGCCTTCCCTCCTCCCTTTAATGGTGTGCTCGTCATTGATCAGACAGTCAATCTCCTCGTACTTCAGCCCCGGGGCTCTGTTGCCGTTGAAGCCTCCCGCGACCGGGGGAGCCTTCTGCTGCTCCTGGGGCGACGCCTCCTCGCTCTGCTGCCG